CAAATTTTAAATTTTTTTTAAATTTAATTACTAATAAAAAAATCCCTTATGTGGTTTTGCAGTCATATCAATATTTTGTTAAATTTGATTTCATTTTTAATCAGATTATTTTAAATAGTTATTTTCAGCGGGTTGATTCTTTTTCAGACTATTCTGGATAAATCAGTAAAAAAAGAAATAGAAGTAGCAATAATAATAATAAGTATTAATAATATTAAATAATTCAAAGTAGATAAAATTATTAATATTAATTATCAATAAAAAACAATAGATAAAACAATAGATTTAAATAAAGAATATGAAAATTAATTCAAAAATAATAAAGATTGAATCAAATTAACAATAAAAACGAATAATTAATTTAATAATGCTTGTTGTTGAAAATATTATCGAGAAGAACTCGTCAGATTTATCTTTTTTGAACTGATTTTTATTTCATCCACCATGCATGGTTGCGTTTCCTTTCTTATGACATCATTACCTGGCATCTCTTTTTTTGCCACGCCCATCAACCCCTCTTCACTCATTCCCTCATCTCCTACCTTGTATATGGCAGTAAAAACTCTTTCGTTCTTCACCTCCTTCAGGTTCAGACTCTTCTAGTAGCGTAGGTTCCTCTTCCGGGTCGCTCTCTCGGCCGTCTCAGCTGCCGTTACCCGCCCCCGTTGTACCCCAGCCCGGTCGAGGCTTCACCGTGGCCCCCGCGGCCCCTCTTCCGGCCCCGGCCCCTCAGAGCACGACTACTAATGCTAACATTAATACTAACGCTAGCTTCTACATCGTTCCTGTGGACAGCACCGCCATCCCGCCGGGCAGCATGCTGCTCAATCCACAGACAGGTTGGTACCAGCTGACCAACACTTACTTCAAAGGATGGAGGTTATGCTGCGTCAGATCTTATTCGCGATACTAACTTTTCATACTAATTCATTGTTGTGCAAATGAAATCGAGTTCGTAAATGCAGAGTTGGATTTCAGAGTGTTTTTGTCTTCTACAGGTCAGCCTTTTGTGAACCCCGATGGCAGTCCGGTGGTTTACAACCCCACCATGACATCACTGCAGGGGCGGGGCCAGCAGCACATGACTCTACATCCTCCCCCGCCCCCTCCTCCTCCTCCGCCTCTTCCTCCTCCCCCTCAACCTCAGCCAGCCACTACTTACCAACTTCAAACGCTGTTTTATTTGGACACAGAAGAGTTAGCCACTGTAATGTCCTTTCTGGACACCAGTTAGTCTTGTCTAGACATTTTGATTGCTTGTTCTAATTTAGTAGCCCCTGAGTTGCTTTATTTTTCTTCAGTGTCAGCAGAACGTCACAGTTGGGAAAAACTTTTTTTTTTTTTTTTAAATATGTTTAATTTTTCTTATTATTTTGGAGTTTTTATATTTAAATAAATATTTGAGTTCAATTTTTTGTTAATATTTTGTTTAACTTGCTCTTTTTCTATTTCTTTAATACTTTTATATTTAAATAATTTTATTTAATTTTAATTCATTTTAATTAATATGTTTTCAGGTATTTTGTATTAAATAAAATAAAATAATAAAAAGAAATAAAAAAAATTGTTGAATTTCTTATTTTTAATGTTTATATTTAAATATATTTTTTATTTTTATATTCAATTTATATTTATATTTATTAGTTTTCCTTTTTTAATTTAGGTTAATATATCGTATTATTTGTAATGTTTTTATCTAATTTTATTTTATTTAATTTTCTTTTTTCATTTTTATGTTAAATGATTGTTTTAGTTAATTTCATTTAGTTTTTCTTATTTTTTATTTAGTTGAATTTATCTTATTTTTAACATGTTTATATTTAAATTTATTACATTTAGTCAAATTGTTCTTTATTTTTTATATTTAAATAATCATATTGTAATATAGTATTTTTATTCTATATCTGTATCTATATTTCTATCTATATTTTTTATTATAATTTTATTCAATCTAGTTTTTTAGATTTGTTATTTTTATTTTCAAAATATCTTATTTGATTTAGTTTAGTTTTTCTTATTTTTTAATTAAGTTGAATTTGTCAGATTTTTACAAATATATATTTCTTAATTGAATTTACTTACATTTTTCTTTTATGATTTATTCTATATAATTTTTTATAATTTAATAATCTTTGAACATCTACAGTAAAAGCAATATTTAAAATAGTAGTCATCATATTGGTTATGGGCTATAACAATATACTAGATGGCTGTCAGTATCTCTCAGTTTCAATAGTCATGCTTAAAAATACAATAGCACAAAAAATGTAGTTTATTATTCTCATCCCTTGTTTATCATTTATACATTTAAAGTATCGGTCATCATATTGATTATCTGTCATAACACAAAAATATTATATGTGGTAAATGGTATTTATTATGTCAGATAAATGCTGTAGTTAAACCTATTTTTTCAATTAAGATTGATGTGTAAGGCCTAAGAGTTTCTTAACATTTGCAGAGTTTGAGAGAGTGATTCATGCGTTCATTTCATCTAGACTATTGTAATTCTCTTTATATTGGAACGAGTCTATCCCATATTAGTCGTTTTCCCCAATTTCCCCAATATCACACTCTTTGCACTGGCTGCCGATTTGTAATAGAATTGATTTTAAAATTTCGCTTTTTGTTTTTTTTTAAAGCTCTGAACGGATTATCCTTTGTCTTTTTGTACAGCACAATGGTCAACTACTGTTGTTTTTATTTGATGTTTTGGTAATATATTGGTAATTGAAGTATTTTTTTCTCCCTATATTTTTGGCTTGTGAATGGTGCTAGTGAAATAGTTTGTTGTCTTTAGCCATTACTATTTCTCTTCAGTTGTCATTCGTTCTGTCCTTCGGTGCGGTTTCTCTGATGGTTGTCTTTGATCGTCTCTTCCTCTTTGTCTGTGTTTCTCTTCTCTCTCTCCTCTGCAGTCGTCTGCTCAGCCTGTGCAGTTTGCTGCGGTCTCTTGTGCTCCTCTGCTGCCTGGTGCTTTCACTCAACAATACACTGTGGTACTTCTCTCCTCCTTCACTGTCCTTCTGGAAACGTTTCTTTTCTCTTTTTTCCTCGATTTATTAAAGAGGCTATATCATGGAAAGATTTCTCTTGTTCTTTTGAAATGAGTTCAATATATGATACATACATACCATAATATTCACAATTTTTAAAAATTCATTTATATTTCATTTACAATTTTATTATTATAGTGTATTTATTTATTTTTTTAGGCTTTTCTTGTTCTTCCAAAAAAGTCTAATATACGATACATACATACCAGAATATTCACAACTCTTACATTTTAAAATTTGTTTTTATTTTTATTTATATTTCATTTTATATTTAATTTATAATTATTGTAGTTTTTTTTTTTTTTTTTGTTCTTCCAAAAAAGTTGAATATAGTCGGCACCGATAGCCTCGTGGGCAGCGCGTTGATATGTAGCTCCAC